ATAAGTTAAATGCTGCTTAAAAATTGTTCTCTTTTGAAAATCATAGTTTTCTACAATAACTTGTATAGGTTGTAAGCCAGCGATATGATCTTTCAGTTATAAGCGACACTACAAAAACATCGAACAGTAATAAAAGATTAAAAACTAAAATATTGTCTTATATTATTTTGTAATTAGTTTAATTCCTGTAACATATTTCTTACCATTAAAAAGTATATAGTCTTTATATTTAAAAAGTAAGTCTGTTATACTTTTGGTTTTAATTAGTTTCTTGCATATTAGTACCAGCCAAGTAAGTCTGTGTATGTGTCCGTGTGTGCTTTTCTTTCGTACCTCTTATAAACCCGAATGATACAGGTATGACTTGCAACTTTGAATCATTCGAAAACCGCGAGTAATTCCTTTCTATGTACAATATTGAGTTCCCAAAACAGCCAATAAGATTATAAGATATATTTCTAGCGATTACATAGTACGGTAGTCATATACACCCTATCTGTATATAGTTTACCTGATGACTTCCACATAATGTTTCATACATTATGTTGAAGATGAAACTAATTAAAATAAAAGAAAACAAATCTCAAATCTAAAAGGCTTAATATACTCTACTAATTAAAAGCACAAATACTATTTAATTAACCGTAAAATTAATTCTTTAAACTTATATTTAAAAATACCTAATATGCACTATACGTTTTGTGTAACATTATATATGTTTACTTTTATTGCTTCACAGATAAATAAACCTTTGGTATAATAATTTTCAAGTAACAGGAAAGATCGCACGTTTTATTATCACTGTACCGGGGTAACATAATACATCTGTATACACATAAATATGTTTCTATGTTTATTTGAAGGTTATATTTTACACCTTCGAAAATATATCTAACAAAGAGCTTTGACTTTAATTACATGTAAGTCTAAAAATGCGGATGAACATACCAAGGAAAAAAATACTAGTAATTTTGAGCAGTTTTTTTAAACAATTTTCAAACAAATAGTAAAACATGCCTTAATAAGTACTGCATATGTGTATGTATGTGTGCATATAGAATACATATGTGTATGTGGATATGTGTAAACATATGTATATTTATAGACAACAGAAGAAGAAAGAAATAACTTATCCATCGAGTGAGTAATCTTATTTGCTTTATAAACTTTATATAAAATATAGTCATGTATTTAAAAACATCGAGAATGAATAATAAATCTAGTGTTAAGTGTTTTGAATTTAATTTAGCTTATTCAATACTAAAGTTTCATAAATAAATGTATCGGACTAAAATTCAGGACTCATAAAAAGGCGCAAACAGTGTCTTGAAGTCTATGTATTTATGGGTGACGGGAAAAGCTTTCAAAGTGTCATCCCCCGATTTTAATGAAATTTGGTCGAAATGTAGGTCAGATCTGATAATAAATTTGGACACTTTAAGTTCGTGTAGTGACGCAACTTAGAAAATTGAGGGATATGTAACATTCTTCAAATATGGATGAAGTTTTAAATTTTACTTCCTTTTTTGTATGACCTTTTGGCTAATGCATACTACGATACTTGAAAAATTTGTATTAATCACTGGATGATATAATGAACATATGACGTACACTACACACCCACATATACTTTCTCATAACTTCCTTGAATGTGATGACCTATGTTCTATCTTCTTCTGGGTTTTTGAGTGAACACTGTAAATCATAGCAATAGTTATATAAGATTAATATTAAAATTGTACATTTTATATAAACAGGAGGTTTGTCGTGATAATATTATTATGTAGTTAGATCACGACGCTGACCAGAAGATGTGTGAAAAATATCAGGACCAATAAATTATACTATGCTAGAAAATATTCCGTTTATGTACCATTGTAAATAACAAAAAAAAAAAGTTTAAAATTTAATAACATCAAAATTACACTTTATACACTTCATCAGTTTGTTAATTGCTTTTTTAAGTCACGTTCTCTTGTTATAGTATGTATTTGGGACTTCGAAATAGCTGTAATGCTTTTCGTTTGATCCGCGACGAAATAATTCATTACGTTTCAACGTAGCCGACGAACGATCAATCAGCACGGGAAAGCACCTGTTACAGCAGTAGCCTTGTGTAAACACTCGATTTTCAACGTACATTCCGTATTCATTAAGCGGGAAGTGAATTTTGTTACATTTGGTTAGCAGCCGGTCAACCTGACAATCGTAACTATGAGGCTTTATTAGTATAGTATGTAGAATCTATATATATTTTTTTGTCTTTACATACTAATAATATTATCATGAGGAGTAATGATAATTCAGGGAGCCCCATGATGACGTGATGTTTCTGTATATAGGAGAAGGTTACCGTTCTCAACATCAGGAGGGCCATCAGCTTGTTTATCATAATAATGAATTATTTCAATTGTCTGAATTGTAATGTGTTGTGAAATATAGATATAAATACGTATATATTGTTTGGAGAATGAAAGTAGTAAACTTTATTATTGAGTACAGCAGTTCCGCTCTATTTTCAGCAACGTCTACGAGAGCTTTGCAAAACTATTTCATGCAATTAGTCTGCCGATATAATTTGTCTGTTCAATGAAAAGTTTTGTCCTTGCATTCGGGCGCCATCAGCATTTTATTACGGTCCGTTTTATTTTACGGGTTTCGTTTCTTCAATTTATGTTCTATTTTGAATAATATTTATCAAAATCGTCAGAAATTCTTCATTCGATCAGAATAGTAATAAATGACGAAACCTATGAATGTTGACTGAGATAGTTATTTTTGTTGATGATTATATACAATATTGAGGTTTGACAAAAAATACAGATAATTTTTCTATGTTTTTTTTTATAGCATTGGGGATAAACGAGCTTTCGGGTCACCTGATGGAAATCCGCCCATGACAGCATAGTGAATTGCAAGTCCGTTACCGGTCTTTTAAGAAGGAATAAGCTGTGTCTTAAAATATTCATATCATTTGATTAAATTTACATATATATTACATATTTATACTATATATATATATAGATTAATACTATAGAGACTTTAAATTATGCGCGTATCGTCATATCAGCTTTCAACCAAAAACGGAACCTGCCAACACAATCGCTTTGCAACATACATGATAACAATGTTAAATTTAATGAAAATTCATTTCCAGGAGTGATCTTTGAATATTAATTTCATTATGGAGACTCAGAAAATGTCAAGTGTTATGTACATATTAAATAAACACAGGTAGGATATTGGTATAGACATGTTCATTGTATTATTTATGAGCAGTTGTTTGTTATGATATTATCTTATATATGAAATATATATTTATTTATATTAAATAATATATTAAGTTTCTTGCCAGTTCTTCTTAATCTATATACTGAACTGGACGGTAGGAAAATAATTATAATATAAAAAATCTGAAGTTCATAAGTGGCTAAAATGTCCTACATGAATAAATGATTTTCGAATTTTATATATTTGAACACTGCACTGATACATATAATACTTATAATCATAGACTATACTATATATGCTATGGACGCTACAATTTTTACGAGTATTTAGCATTGTTTGGCTTCGTGAGTTAGTCTGTTAAATAATAATCTACGAAATAACCTAAGATATAATCTATTCATTTACTATATTTCTGACATATCCGTGATGATAGTGAAGTATTTAATGTGTTACTCAGTAGTTTATTTTCAAATACAAAGATTCAAATTTGGAATATATATTATATAATTTTACCGATAGACGTTAAAAAGTCGTCTGCAGTTTGCTTTTTAATCAGAGTTTTGGTCAAAACGTCAAACAAGAGAGAAAAATTACAGGATCATGACATTTTAGTCTTCTGATATGACAAAGCACGAGTCACATAGTGACGTTAGGTCCATAGTGTAGTTCTTGTCTGTAGGCGAAGGTACACTGTACATATTATATCTGTGAAGTAAATAAAAAAAATTCAAACATACAAAAAATCTAATAATATCAATTTAGAGTATTAATAAAAGTTCTAACCAAATTAACAAAAGGAGGTTATACGCACAAAAATATAATCGAATTGAAAACGTCCAACTTTTTAAAGTCGATTAAAAGTATCTGGAATATAAATAAAACGTCCATTAAATCGTTCTCAGCCATGAATAAGAAAAACTTGAAGCAACATTTATCCAAATCTTGGAAAGCAGCGAAAACAGCCATTGGAATCTATTAGAATTTTGTTTACTTAATTTTCCAGAGCATTGACTGCATAAAACGAGTAAATAACTGGATGTTTAAGAACAAACACAGCTTCATTCGAGAGCAAAGTGAATTTGACGGACGAGTAGCAATCGACGAAAAAGGCTCCGTTCTATTAATTGTCCCGCGAATAACAAGGCGTTTTGTCGCACTTGTAGAACGGGGAGCGAGCGACGCCGCCGCGACGGTCGATGGCAGTGAGCGGGCGAAGTGTTGCCGTCTCACTGGTTCACCATTACAATTGGTGGTTTAAAACCCCTGTGTTCGTTAAAATTTGTTTCTGGTAACTAGTGGATTTTTAGTTGACTTCAGTAAAATAGTTATTTTAATAAATAATAATTATATAGAAATAAATATATACTCATTAACTTACTTATTTGAAATTATAAGTCATTATTAAATTTTTTCTGATAAAAATTGGTTTATAATGATTATTAACTTTTTGTTTTCACATCATTAAACTTAAGTGATTATTTTTGATGCTACGATACATACATACAATACTCAAAATTTTGTAATAGTTTTTATTTAATAAATGGTACGTTCTACATACTAAATTTTATTTTATGATAATTGTAATAGTTTCAAATTAACATTTATTTTATACATAATATGTTATTTTTTGTGATTTTAAAAAGAGAGGGTTTATTCTAACTTTGTTGGTAACACTGAGCGGGCGGGCGGGGCGTCAGTACGCCCGTAGACGCAGCCCTGACGCCCGCTACGCGATTTACGCTCGAAGCCGCTACGAACGCGCGGTATGTAGCAAAAAGCGGACGCTACAGGTGCCGGCAGTGATCGCATACCTACCACATGATAAATGGCACCGTGTTTTTCTAACCGCATCGTCGCCTCCAACCCGTTCAGTGGTACGAAATAGGCCGTAGTTCCGAATAAACAAACATTTTTGGATTTATATCCGCTTGTTTAGAGAATAAAGCATGTGTTTTTGTTTCTTATAAAAATATCTTTTGTTTTTGTTTTTGCTTGAAAACTTTTATGCATTACAAGTTAAAATATTAATACTTAGTTATATGAATAACTCGTTATTCGAAATAAACATTTATTTCGTAATCAGGGAGCGACATATTTTATTCCGAAATTTCCATTTAAATGCGAAAGTTACACGAAAAGTTTGGATTGCGTTTGCAAGGTTGAAATTCGTCTGGCAGTATATTGCGCATGACCTGCGCAAGAGGAACTCTGAACTATCTATATATATAGTTGAATCTATGGTATACCTGTGTAGGTTATAGGATTATAGCAAAATTTCCTGTGACCTAGATTTATTTGGCGAGCACCTTGTGAGGAAGTCATCCGTCAAAGATATGAGCAACTTAGGAACTCGCGCTTCGTTGCTTTAGAAAATATAGATATTGTTATTGTTAGCCGTTATTTATATGAAATTTGAAATTACATTGTTTTACAATATTTTTAAAGTACAGCGTTTAATCTAATATAGCGGATTGGTTTTCTTTATGGAACGTGTTATTGTTTCTTAAGATGTCGAAATCAAATGTTTACGTCTAAACATATAAAGGAATGTAATCTTAAATTATGGTTTATTTTAGGAAAAGGTCAGCGAAACACGGCTTTTTAGGAATACCCTTTATGTTTTTGTATTATTGAATAACCTAAACCTATTTGGATCGGGGTTACGCGAATTTGAATTTACGTATTTTATGTATTACGTATGCATTTCTATTATACACTTTTCAGTATTTTGGAAGTTATACATACTGTCTACAACTGTTATCTTGGATGGGATAGTTAAATATATAGAAGATAGATAGAGGTATGGTTCATTATCGACGTCATATTGGAGGAACACTTAATATGCCTACTTTTTGCTGGAGAAATATGAAACTATCGTGACAGTGGGTTAACCAACCGCTATTTTGAGGATTATCTTGTTCTTCTAAACAATATTATAGCAACATAGAACAAATGTTACCACTTATTATAATAACAATATATTTTTATTATATGTCAGAAAATACTTACACAGCGCCATCTAGTCTCAAGCTAGCAGAGCTGGTGTACTGGGTACCAAATTATATGAATATATACATACCTTTTTTGTAAATACACTTTTACTTAATATCCATAAAAACACCCAGACAGATAAAAAATCTAACTCTTGAATACAAATGTATGAACCGTGCGAGGAATCAAACCTGCGATCATCGGAAGTTAGGTGGTGTGCTAAAACGCTAACATTTGTACAGCCAAAACTTACTATCGTTGTAAGATCTTTAGATATACGGCACTTTAGCTAAAAGAGTGACCTTAAATGACCCAGCACTGACTTGGAAGGTCTTCCATTTTGAAGATAGTGGATCAAGGCTACTTAATTCTTGGCCAGTAATCTTTTAAACCCGTTGTCTTAAGGTTTCGTTAATGTTCATGATGTCACTGTGTCAAATGGCGATTAAGTTGATTGAGTTAGCTTTGTACTTATTTGTTTAAGTTGCCGTCCTAAAGGCATTAGTATACACATGTAGTAAGTTAGCAACTATTCAACAAAGTTATTCATGTACTCACTGGTGACGGTATGTATATGAGAGAACTTAGGACCAGCGTTCAGGGATGGGGGTATTGTGACGTCAATGGAAATAATTTCTATTACTTCAACGTACGTAACTTGTGTGTTTTAATGAAATAACGTTTTCTGTGTAACTTCTAGAGCGTGCTTTGCTGGTATGAGTATATAACTTACTCGATATAAGTACTGCTTTGTAGTATTTTTATTCACACATTAACATTTAGTCGCAATCTAAATAAACTAAAGTAACGAACTAAGTTTGTATCATGGATAAATTAATGTCTAATTAACTGCTAAAAATGTTTTAATACATTTTTTGTGACTCTTATTAATATTATAAATGCGAAAATTCACGAGTATGGTTGGATAGGAAGCCAGCAAAATAATATAAATTATATTCTTCATTTATAAAAGCTACTAAACATTTTATAATCCTATTTTAGCAATGGAATTCATTATGTCATTTTATTTGAAACTATTTCCGTTATTCGGTATAGAGATAATAATAGCACAAATAAGATAATATTAGATAGTAATAGTAAGATTTTAATTTTTGAAGATCTATGAAGTAGTTATAGAATTTAACTAGCGTGAAGATGTATTTGAAATAAATGAACAGAAAAATTGAAATTACGCTCATTAATTATTATATTGTTAATTATTAATTAATAAAAAGTAATTAATGAGAGTTACTTCATTTTTTCTTTTAATACAATATTGTAATAATCATCATGAATTCATCAATCATTCATTACATTAAAGTTATTATAAATTTAAATTATGTGTATCAGATTTTTATTATCTCTCTCTATCCAGAGTTATAAAACATGCACACTCATTTCACAGATTGCTGAAAGAGCGATAGCCTATCTAGATATTTTTATCATCATCGAGTTTAACACACCGCTTTATTTTCGATGGTCGTGGGTTCGACTCCTCGCACGGTGCGAACATTTGTATTCATAAGTATAATTGTTTGTATTGGTCTGGGTGTTTTCTATGTATGTATTTACAAAAAATATATCTAAGAAATTATATCAGTTATCTAGCACCCATAACACAAGTTCCGCTTAACTTGGGACTAGATGGCACTATTGTGCAGGGTTATTATTATTACCTATATGTATAATTATTTACCTCGTAGTCATAGATGGCGACCTAATAATTTAACAGTCTTGAATATTCTTATTATTATTTGTGTATTATTTACAGAACGCTTGATAACAGATAAGAATGAAGTGAAGTTATATAGTAGACCTATCACGACGACATAGTAACACATAGAAAGTAGTGTATTACTTTTTATCCCAAAAAAGCAAATGAAGTCACGAGTGGCAGGAACTAGATCTTATTGACAAATTGACTCATATATTCCCTTTAGTCGAATTTATATGGGCAATCCCGTGATCTATGAGCTATGAAACTATTATCGTTGTTGCTCTAAAGCTATCTGTTAAAACCACTTCATATCATGAATGTTATTTTTATAATAATTGTGTAGTTTCAGGCGAATGTGAAACAGAAACCTTTTTACTTATAACTTTGAATGGGCTCTTGTTTGGATAGCGCCGTTGGGTTGTGTTTAAATTATTCGATATTATAATTTATAATCAACTGGAATCGACAGATATTTATTCATATAATAAGTTCATTGAATATTCATAGATCATTATTCTATTCTTCCCTAAAATACCACAGTATTTTAAGGAAGTATTAGTAGAGATTTCTTAGAGAGATTCCAAGAATTTTCTAAGAAATATATTTAGTATTGACTAGGAAATTCAATTATCGATATTAAAACTATTTTTATATTTTTGTTTTTGATCCGTAAGATATATAATAAATTACAGATTAATTAAAAGATATTTTTGTTATATTGGAAAAATAACATTTATTTTGTACTAAAATATTGAACTGCGAGAACTAACTATATTTATTTTAATTTTTCTATCTGTTTTTGTTTATATTACTTATGTTCTTACACTCGTATATCGCTTTGTATATCTCGCTTGAGTAGGTACCCCTACTACATTTATCTTTGAAGTGTAGTAACAGCCTATGCTTTATTGTCTGTAGGGTATTATAGCCGTAAAATAAATAGTGAAATCTTGATTAACAAGCTCGTTCGCACACGAGATGTAGTATATAATAACACGGTATATACTCAAGAGATGATAATGTAATATCTCAGTTTTGAACGCGATCAATTCGAAAATATGTCAAATGCATTCTTGAATACCGCGATTTACTTTTAAATATAACAAAAATATAAATAAAGTAAGAAGTGAATCGCGACTCGAACATGTATACCTAAGTTATATATATCATTATGCATTGACGGTTTGTGGTGCTTAGATGTACTCCTAAGGCTACAGCGCTTTTAATATGCTACGACTCTCATGACATGCTACGATTTTATACTATGCCTAGTTCTTATTATGACTGAATAAAGTATATCATTTACTACCTGACCCCTTTCATCTGCGTTAAATTTTCCACTTTTTTGCAACATTTTATATTGATGTCTCGCTACTGTTGATCATAGCGTGACTTTAGACCTTATAGCGTTCCTCAGTAAATGAGCCATGCAATGCTAACATAAATTGTCAATTTGATCCAGTAGTTCCTCAGATTGACGCGTTCAAGCAAACGAACAAAGTTTACAGTTTTATATATTATATTAGTATGGATAGATACATAAATATATTTAAGAATACTAAATCGAACTAATGGGAAATATTTAGTTTTTTTAATTAAGATATATATTCTTTATTGCACTTTTAAATACAGTTCTAAACTTAAACATATACAGAGTGAGCAAAGGTGGACTTATCTCTAAGAGAGATCTCTACCAGTCAACCCAACAGTGTGGCATAGATATAAGATTGATAATTTTATTTTAATTTGAATTTGGAAACTTTTATTTATTTAAGCACCTGATTTAAAGACTTTCAAGCTAGCTATATAAGAAAAATAATACATTATATAAATAGTATAATTGGCTATAGCATTTAATATAGTATTTTTCATATAAAATTCCTCTTTTCTACTCATATTCTACATAGTAGACATCTTATTTTTGAAGTTCAAATTTTGAACAGCATGAGTATGAATACTGATTTGGTTTCATCTGATATATTTTATACATAAAAAGATACATCATAAAAGTGGAACCACAATACGTATATCGTACGTAGGTAGATAGGTATATACCTATAAACGTGGCATAGAGTTACGTGACCACGCTACCTTTTCTCTACCTACCTTTACACGTGGGTAAGTGAAAATATACACTTTGTATATTTTGTTTAACCCACGTGTGGG